TCCTCTACTGGTTCACTTGTGAATGCGCGTCCACAAGTGACGCAGTAGAGACGAAAATGTGAAATAAAATTCCTTAATGATGCAGGGTTAATAAGCAGAATTTGAGCAAAAAAGTATTCTCGTAGCTTCGCAACTTTACAGTTGAACCACTGATGTCACATGGACTACTTTGTCGATCATCTTGGTACTTTTCTGGACCTTGAACGTGGTAGTTACCTTGCTGTCTATGAGAGGGTCAGAGAGCCCTCATATTTCATCAAAAATATCTTAAATTGTGTTCCGAAGATGAACGAAGGTCTTATGGGTTTCGAACAACACGAGGGTGAGTAACTAATGACAGAATTTTTGGGTGAACTATCCCTTTAATGCATTCTTGAAAAATAAAGGTATTAATTTCATTTAAAAAAAGGTAGTTTATATAAAGTATATATGCATAAAATATGCATTACTTCTTCATTTAAAAATGTGCTGCTAAATTATTTCTTATTGCCTCAGGGCCTCATGAGCCCAAAAATATGTTTTACTACTAGCTTGACTGGATGTGTCTAAATATATGACATAGATAAATACAGATAGAAGGTCACTTATTCCTCATCTAACCCATTTTCAGTCTCAAATTAGTAATTAGGGCATCTCTCCATAGCTTTTAGTGAAATGACAACATTCAGTCCTCCACCACTGTCAGAACTACAGTGTAATGCTCACTGTTGAAACCTGCTGTGAATTAGCCTGATAAACAGCTTGTTCTTGTTTATACCAAGCGTGCATGTGTTTATAGAAAGAAATCGTTAAAAATCCATGTCCTCATAATCTCAGTGCACTCATGGATAAAGTGTGTTTATGCAACTAGTTTTTGTTTTTTTTGGTGTGTACAGGTGTGCAGAGGTTTATCTCTTACCGTGAGAAGCCCTTGGCGCAGTGTGGACACACATATGGTTTCTCCACTCCTCCCTGGTGTGACCGAACATGATAACTCATCCGATCCTTTCTCTTAAACCGCTGCTGGCAGATCGGACAGGAGTACGGCTTCTCATCCGAATGGGACAACCGATGCCGGTTAAGATGGTACACGTCCCTGAACGCTTTCCCGCATGCCTCACAAGCATGGTTCTTCCTGACCGGATTGGGGTTGGGATTAGGATTGGGAGTCGGATTGATGGGTAATGGGTTTGTTATTGGGATAGATATTTGGATCGGGGTGGGATTATTTAGGTTATCGTTGATGTTGGTATTTGGTGCAGCCTGAAAAACAATGTTAGACAGAATGTCAGATTTTATGACCTTACGTTTTTTCGTCGTTAGTGCCACAAACAAAGCAAATCTTTCTGTGGGTAAAACATGTTCACTGTTTGCTGACCTACTAACCAACTGACTGTACGTGTTCGACAAATGAGGTGAGAGCAGGTATGAGACCACGTTACACAACTGTACACAACAGAGTCTTGGGAATTGGATGGTTTGAAACTGACTCCAACTACTTTAGTTCATTATGGGACAGCAGGCATATGGAGAAATAATCATGAAATTATGGTAAATGACACTTTCCATAAATAGTTTACAATCTGGTGTCCCGTTACTGTTTTAAAATCACCCATATCAGGTTTTTGTGTTGCGAGAATTATGAGATTTGTTTGACAAACCTAATCAGCTATTTAACCCTAAAGGCTGGAATACATTTTAAAATAGGCAATGGCTGAGGATCTCACCCTACCAGACATTCAAATCTTTACAAACACAACAAACTCCCAGAGAAACATGCACCACGGTGCTAGGAGATTACATTATAAATTGAAACAATGTGTTCTAAAAACAGCTTAAAATATCAGGCATGTTTTATATCTGGGCAAACGTCATGTTGTGTATTGCAGCCTTTAGATACTGTATGAAAAAATTATTACACAATGTTTTTAGTAAATATCCATAAACACTATTTATTTGTTCCAAACCAGATAGCCAGCTTTATTTAAATCTGCAACCCTTTTACTCACTCTGGCAGTGTTTTTATTATTATTATTTTATGATTAATATAAAAAATGTAATAAACTATATATGTATTCCTATGATGGATATATATATACACATACACAAATATTTTAAATAAATGTTAAATATTTCATTTAATTGTTTATTCAACGTTTATTACTAAAAATAAAGGCATGATAACAAATCGAGGTTTTATACTATAATTAGAATAATTAAAACAATTTGCAAATAAAACAACAAAAACAACATGGTTGACGATCAACTTTTTAATTTGTGTGTGTGTTTGTATATATGTATACACTACTGTTCAAAAGATTGGGATCAGAAAGATTTTTTGTTTTTTAAGAAGTCTCTTATGCGCATCAAAGTTGCATTTCTTTGATCAAAAATACAGAAAAAAACAGTAATATTATGAAATATTATTGGAATTTAAAATAATGGTTTATTATTTTAATATACTTTAAAACATAATTTATTTCTGTGATCCAAAGCTGAATTTGCAGCATCATTACACCAGTCTTCAGTGTCACGTGATCCTTCAGAAATCATTCTAATAATATGATGGTTTATTATCAATATTGGAAACAGTTTTTCTTTTTAACGTTTTATTCATCAAAGAATCCTTAAAAAAGTATCACAGGTTCCAAAAAAATACTAATCAGCAAAAACTGTTTCCAACATTGACAATAAATCAAACAATATGTTAATAAATCAGAATGATTTCTGAAGGATCATGTGACACCGAAGACTGGAGTAATGGATGATGAAAATTCAGCTTTGCATCACAGAAATAAATTATATTTTACAGTATATTAAAATAGAAAATTGCAATAATATTTCATAATATCACTATTTTTTTTTATATATATATATATATATATATAGCCTATACATTTTATTGTTTGTTTAATTAATTTTTAATTAGCCCTAATCATTTAATTAGCCCTATTTTGAACCCTATTTACGAAAAGTGCGTCAAAGTGAGTAAATATGAGATATGATCATGGGTAGAAAAATCAAAGCAAGAACAAATGAAGCGAAGCAAAGGTATGCAAAGCATTAACCAAAGACACAAACCAACCCGAGAAAAAATTTTTATTTTAAAAAAATGCTTTCCTTTTTTTTTTTTTTTTTACTTTTTATTCAAAAGTATCACAGGTTCCAAAAATATTAAGCAGCAAAAACAGTTTCTAACATTGATAATAAATCAGCAATATGTTAATAAATCAGAATGATTTCTGAAGGATCATGTGACACCGAAGACTGGAGTAATGGATGATGAAAATTCAGCTTTGCATCACAGAAATAAATTATATTTTACAGTATATTAAAATAGAAAATTGCAATAATATTTCATAATATCACTATTTTTTTTTCTATTTTTGATCAAAAAAGTGCAACTTTGTTTAGCATAAGAGACTTTTAAAAAAAGCATTAAAACTCTTTCTGATCGAGCGCCGTGGGTATGGAGGCAGGTATAGACAGCTGGAGGAGGGAAAGAGGGATGGTCTGCCTCTCCACTCGTGCTCCGGCCTTGCTTCCATCTATTTTCTCTCTAGCGGCTCTGTCCTTCATCTTCACTCCAGTGTGGACAGACTGATGACGCCGCAGGTTGTAACTGTTCTTAAACTGCTTGTTACATATGGAGCAGATGTGTGTAGGTCGGGCTGGTCGAGTGACTGGCTTCACTGGGAAAGAGAAAAAGAGAGAGATGGTATTCATACACAGGTGTAGTCTATTTGTCGCAAACAAACACCTAGACTCAAGAAACATGCTATGCTGTATTAAAAAAGCTTCTACTTGAAAGCTTGAAAGCAGTAATTACAATGAGATGTGAAATCACATGGGCAATTTTATGTTTCTTTTCCCTACTGACAAAAACAGGAAACTTTTTAGCACTAATGCATCACAATAATGTGCCAAAAATGCACATTAGTTATGAAAACCGACCCTTTATCTGTGTTTTATCATTCTCTTACCATTAGAGAACTAAGCATGTTTTATTGCTATTCTTCATCAGGACTACATGAAATGCATAAAAAATGGCCTAATTTGCATTGGTCCTGGAAATGTTTTTACCCTAGGGATTTGAAAAAGATTCTGGAGCACAGACTTCTAAGCAGCTCCAACATGAACCACATCATAAAAACCTTTGAAAACACAAAGGTTTTGAAAAGCTGGAGAAAAAAGACGATGATATTAGACTGTGTATGTCTGTGATGAGCTACTCAATGAACTACACATCCCATGCAGCACAGCATTATAAATTGATAGGAACAGTCAAATGTATAAATATAGAGTAGCTTGAAAGGGCAGCAGGAGTGTTACAGTATTTATTATTACATTTATTATTATTATTATATATTTTTTTTATTATTTATATATTTAATATTAATATTTAATAATATACTATATATATATATATATATATACACACACACACACACATATATATAGTTTTATTTTATTATATATTTTTACATTTATGTCAGTTTTAATTTAGTATTTTTATTATTTTAACAAACGTATTTTAGTTGCCAAAGCAGCTTTTCTAATTGTCATTGAAGTTTTTGTTTTAATTATTTTAATACGTTCATCTATTATTAATCATTTAGTTTATTGCTTTATTTATTGATTTATAATTTACTTCATTTTACAATATTGCTTTATTGTAATGATCGGTTTTTATTAGTTTTAGTTAACAATAACAGTTCATTAACCCTGTTTCTGTTTCCATGGATACAGCAACTTCTCTGAATGGTGAATCCCTCTTCAGGTATTGTGGGTAGTGTTGTTTTCTGACAATTAAGCAGGATCACTAAAATACATTAGATTATAGAGAAAATTAATTACATTTTGACTTCTGAAACCCCACTGAAATTCCAACATATATTCCAACATTGCGATCCCGTTCATGTGTTGATCTTATAAATTTGATCTTTCCAACACGCTTCGAGGGCAACAATAGAAGAGAGAATACATGCAGGCATCCTAAATGATATTCCAACTTTATGCAAATAACTGGCTCATTAACACCTTCACTTATTTACATCCCTCTCCAGCCACTAATGCAAACAGCCTAACCTCGGTTCTCTCTCCAGTCCCCAGTGAACTCCCTTCCCACCCTCCCGTTTTGCCCCTCCCTCACCCGGTACGGGCTCCTCGCTCAGCGCCGCGGTGTCCACCGTGGATGGGGGCGGGGCTATGTGCTCAGGGGGCGGGTCCTGAGCGGCATCCGTGAGCTCCGGGAGAAGATCTGATTGGAGGGTCGCGTCAGTTTGGGACTGTGAAGGCGGAGTCTGTCGAGAGAAGGGGCAAAACCACAGATTTAAACATCCCTTTTCCTTGTGAATGAAAGTACACCGGTGCCATTATAGACAAAATACTAGCGATTATGACATGAATTTAAACTAAATGACTAAAACGCTATCAGCATTAGCACGCATAAGCATGTTCTTACCTGAAAAAGGAAATTGCTCCAAGCTGCATCCATCATGACGTGTAGAACAGTACAGACGCCGCTTGAAATAAACTAGTCGAGTTTTTTCTCCTAATGGACAACGTCTCCTTCCACTATCTTATCAAATCTACATAATAAAAATGTAAAGCTACCAAATATAAAATGACAGTGAAAGTTAAAAAGTGAAAGAATGCATATTACACGGACACTGATACATATATATTTTTCTAAAATATTTCTAAATAGTACAAAATAAGAAATGACAGCTGTCAGTCACAGTATGCTATTAACGCCGCATTGTCACATAACAGTGGCTTACCATGCTTAAAAATCTAATATAAAATGAATTTCTGCATGTAATGTTTTCTTATTGATTAGACCGCTGTGTAATTATTCATGCAAAAATAATAGAATTCAAAAGGCAGTTTAATGTTTAATTTGCTCGCATGGCGTGGTTAAAAAGAATGCCATCAATTTTAATATAAGATTCCCCATCCAGGCCCGGAGCGGTATCTGCGCGAGCCTCGGCGTTGCGTTAAATCTCATTCGCGTCTGGCGAGCGCTTCACCGGTCGTCGTCCATGGCTCCGCCTCGGCATTTCAATCGAGAGGATGACATTTTTTCCTTTTTTTTCCTGCAATACTCTCACCCTCCCACCCTCGCACTTTCTTCCTTTTCTTTTTTTATCCCGTCTTCTCTGCCCCGCTATCTCTCCCCCACCGCCGTGTCCCCCTTGTTTTAAAGGGATAGTATATTTTGAGTGAACACCCCCTCTGTGTCTTCGTCCCCTCCTCCACGCGATGTTCTCGAGCGCGGTGTCCTCTCGCGCCCCTCCGGCGCTCGAGTTCGGCCGACGCAAATTACAGCATAAACATCGAGATCAGTTAAAAGAAACCATCCGCGCGTTCTTCTCCTAAAACTAGCCCTACAACACAAAGATTCTCGGCGGTAGACAACTGGATGTTCGTATAGGGCAAAAAATGTCGCAGGTCCTTAAAGGCAAAGACGCACGCAGACGCAGCTGCGGTAAATAATAAGCGGCTCCAGATCACTGCCGATCATAATTGTACGCGCTCAATGGGATTAAACACTTATCAGTCAGATTCACGCCCGACTGACAGTTCTGGGCTCCCAGTGCGTTGCTTTTTGAGTCTCACAAAACAGAACACTGCATTTTGAAAGGAAATAGAACGTTTGTTTTAGGCTGTGCGTGGAGCTTCAGAGAACGTTGCTTTAACGTTCACTTAACTTCTCTACAACATTACACCAGCAGCACAAAACCGTCTTATTTTCATGAAACAAAACCATTTTTCAAAACAAAACCAAAACGCCATCACACTTAATATGCAGGATTAAATTCATTAAACGTTCTTGAAATAATATCACCAGTAACAGCTGTATCTTGGTCTCAGGATATCTTTATTGTCAAATCATCAGGATACAGTACAAAAGGACTTTTCTCCACAATCATATAACTCTCATATATTTCTGATCATTTATAACAACAGCTGTAAAACTTCAGACAGCAAACAGTATGTCTACCCCTCTACCACAAACCAATAAGTCACGGGGAAGTCGTGGCCTAATGGTTAATGGCTAATTAGAGAATCGGACTCATAACCCAAAGGTTGTGGGTTCGAGTCTCGTACCGGCAGGGATTGTAGGTGGGGGGAGTGAATGTACAGCGCTCTCTCCCACCTTCAATACCACGACTGAGGTGCCCTTGAGCAAGGCACCGAACCCCAACTGCTCCCCGGGCACCGCAGCATAAATGGCTGCCCACTGCTCCGGGTGTGTGTTCACTGCTGTGTGTGTGCACTTTGGATGGGTAAATGCAGAGCACTAATTCTGAGTATGGGTCACCATACTTGGCCACATGTCACGTCACTCACTCACTAATAATACATTCAGAAGGCTATGGACGAAAATGATGCCAGAGCCACTTGTTTAATATAATAATAGCTTCACACTCTTCAAATTAATATGCAAAGTTCTTTGATATACCTGCAACAAAAACAGCAATCTAATAAAACAGTAACAGACAGGCTCATACAAAGAGTTCAAACATAATTCACTATCACAAGCAATGATAAAACAATGGGCAAATACAGTAATACTCGAGTGGCTTTCAGTTGAAGCGTGGAATGTGCCTGTCTATGTGTGTGTGTGCATGTGTGGAAATGTTGGTTTTAAATAGAAGAGCTATTCTAAATCCCATTAAAATGATACATGATTATTCCATTAACAAATAAATTAACCGTCAAAAATAACAATTATTATGATGACACCCCAAAGATAAACATGGTACACTCATAGTGCAACTAGTTCCATCAACAGAAATAAAAAGCCCATCTACAGGAATATGGATAAAACTCGTAAGGAATTTGCCCTGGCATTATAGCATTGATAATCTATATTCAAATAAATATAAATGCTCAGTGAGGCTTTGCAAGGTCCCATAATTGATTTCCATTATCTCATCCTCATCTATACTGGCCAGCGTTCTTATTTCAGCTGATCTCTTTTGCACGGCCTTTGTCTCATTTTTCTTGTTTTCTGCATACTCTCATGTCTCACTGTGCTTTGCTCCGCTCTCTCTCACGGTCAGCCACATCGGTAGCAGCCATGTTACAGGAGGCGGTGATGAGGTGGAGGAGACTAATGCCCGACTTCAGCACAGAGACCACGCCGCAAACTCCCAGCAGCCACTGCAGCCACACTGCGCAAGAAAAAAATGCAACCGATATTTAAATAAAATATAATTTATATTATAGCATTGCTATAGTGCATCCTTATGAGGACTACTTAAATGAATAAAAGTGCAGCAGCACTTACTAGTTGCCGAGGTTATATAACACAGAGTATAGTGTTATCAATATAAAAAACATCACAGTCTGTAAAAATAGTCCATTATAAAGACAGCGAGAAGCAGCCTGCTGATACTCACCCTGGGGTTCCTCAATGTAGTACATTATATACAGCAGACAGAAGAACAGCTCGTTCCCCATACACATGAAAAACAACACCGGCTGTGGAAACACACTGATGTCAGAACAGCCTGTACATGTAAACTTCTTCACTAGATATGCATGCTTCAAGAACATCTAAAGAAGCTTCTGACTGTGTGAATGAATGTGCATGAGTGAGTGTGTTACCCTGGATGTGTAGTACAGCCTTAAGATGGGGTTGCCAGAGAGGTCAATGGTCTTGTGACTGGTGGCTCCCTTCATCATGGAACTGAAAGAAACGGAAGGAACAAGTCATATTATTAACAATGATTTATGTAGAACATACAGGTAACAGATACTTAAATACAGTAATTAAACAATAAAATCTGATTCTAGGGGCCTGTGGAGATCCATGAAAGTACTCCAGGGGCTCCATGGAGAAGACAAAATTTTTACTGACAATTCAGATTTTTTTATTAACATTAACTAATATTCTGACATGGATCATATAATAGTGTAAGTTACTGATTTTAATAAAGTGTTATAAGGAAAATCTAGCTAGCTGAGAGATTGTGGGTTCAAAAGTGTCATGATAAAACGGAAATAGCGACAAATCATTTCTTCCTTATTGTGAAATTATCGAAAAAAGTAAAACATCTAGGGCAGGGACTTGGTTCTATCATACTTGGTTCTATCATACTGACAGATCTGAATATGAGCATGCAGACGATTGCAATAAAACTGCAGTTGTTTATCAGTAGATGTATATTAGAAATGGGGGAGCTTTTAAATTTGCATTTTCACTGGAATGAAAAGCAGACTGCAATTAGCAATTAGACAAGTGAAGCGTGCGTCTGAGAGCTATGTGTGGGGGTGGCAGTGGTGTCCCATGTTGCACAGTCTAGGCAAAATGACTATGTAGCCTATGCCAGGATCTGCCTCTGATGGATGATGCTTACCAATTTGGGATGAGATAATCTGTAAACATGAAGAGAAGAGACCAGTATGGTCTTGAATTAACTATATGCACGCATATAGGGATGTGCATCTCATGACTCAAGCCGATACGATACGCATCTCGATGCATAGCCAACGATACGATACATTAAAGATACATATGAAGCAGCTACTGATGCGATTCACCCGTTACGATGCAGTGCGATCCGATTTCGATTCGATTCGATTCAACACAATGCTATTCGATGCAATGGAGAAAATATGATCACTTTTAATGCCTCGAGGCCTGCTTCATAAAACAAGTTAACCAAATAAGCCAGGCTTATTTCAGTTAGTCTGACTTGTTGTCAAATGATTTGGTTCCATAAGGCAAATTTAACATAGGCCTAGACCTTTCTCTCTGGTTTTATTACAGCTGTACCTTTTATAGTTTGCACAACAGATAGCAGAACATCAGAACATAATCTAAAATCGGTCTTTAAAGCATTAAAATAAATAAAATAAAAGTTAAAATCACTGAATTAAAAATGAAAATAAATAATAAAGAAAATGCTCTGCTCCGCCAGAGCACCCTCCAGTGCCAGCGCCACATAAGCGCTACCCTGTTCCCCCGTCCAGCCCAGGGAGGGCTCCGTATCCCCCGTCCAGCCCAGGGAGGGCTCCGGATCCCCCGTCCACGGAGCCCCAGTCCAGCCCAGGGAGGGCTCCTGATCCCCAGTCCAGCCCAGGAAGGGCTCCTGATGTTTCGCC